CTTTTATCTAAGTAAATTTTTAAATTAATTACTCAGATGCTTTCTTACACAATCATTAAAATTTGTATAGATTTTGGTCATTTCAAGGGAAACTACAGTGGATCAAGTCTTACAATTACTGACAATAGAGCACACAGAATTTTTTCTTTCTTCATCCTTCAAAAGAAAGTAATCAGTCATGTGGGTTGAAACGAAATATGCCTGAGATAACGGACTTGAAGGAGATCACCTGTTGTACTGTCCTTTGGAAATAGGCAGCAATCCCCACACGTTACACGCGTTTGCCCTTCTCGTTTTCCGCTATTCTTGGTCACTCCCCTGAAAAGTGACCTTGAAGAAGTTCATCAGCTGGACTAAATATTGTGCCCCCTTGGAGAAGGAAAGTATCCCCACATGTGACGTCACATAACCGCTTGTTTCCTGCAATTTTAAAGGGTTGAAAGAGAACTCAGAAGGGTAGAAACACCTGCTTCGACTTTTGGACACCCATAGACTATTGACCTTGTGCTTGATAGCCAGAACACTGAAATACTCAAATTCAAATAGGTCTACTATCACTCATTCTTAACATCCATATAATGAAGGCGATGAGGATAAGAAAGTAGTATTGTTGAAGGTGACCTGCTCAATACATTAGTTCAGTTTATTCTGTTATAAATACATGTTTGCCTTTCCTTTCCTGTGGAGACGTAGTTACTAGGGTGGCGTAAAGGAGGGCAACATTATGCTCACCCAGTGTCATCAATTTCAATCCTTGTCCGCTAATTTTAAGTTGGCAATACCGATTTGTTAATTAAAGTTATCAATTCTGAAGCAATCAACGGCGTTGGAGAATTATAAACATGTTTTTACGCCTCTTATTCCATTTTTACGAATAATTGGATGGTAAAAATTTTCATTATTCGACAGATTCTATTTTAACTTTTTCTGAGAAAATTAAACTTCTGCAATCAAATTTTTTTTAAAGATGGTTAAACAGTATACATTTGTCTGTTTTAAATTTTGATATATATCTATATTCTTGATTAGTTTATGCAATAGAATAATCGAAAAAATTTCAGAAAAAATCTAAAAATTAACAAATGTGTATATTTTAAATGGCTGATTCAAAATAACAAATTTTTATTGCTTTAATGTTATAATCGAGGAAATATATAAAGAAGTTTTGAAAATAATTAAACATTAATATTCATAATCAACTAGGGAATCCCCTAATTTTCACATTTTCTTTCTTTATTTTTTTGAAATATATCGGGTCGTTGAATAATACTACATCATCAAAAGCTTGTGAAGTACAATAGATAAATAAATAAATATTAAAAAAAGGCAAATCAAACATTTATCCTAAAATCTAATATGGCGAGGTAGAGGCCTTTTAAGTTGGGAAACCTATTACACCTTAAATAAGTAATTTAGTTTTGGCATATAGATGAAATTTTTTGTGACATATCTGCGTATCAGATGGTCATAATGTATGGAGTATTTAAGTTGGATATTCTTTTCCCTACCCGATAACGAAATGCTTAAAAGGAACAGCAGGTAATGTTACTTTCTCCTTGTGATTGGTAATGTAAAGGAGAAACACTTCTACAAGCTTCTTGGAAGGTAGGAAAAAATCTTGAGGGCACATCGTTGCTTTGAATCTAAACTGTAGTAACTCAAAAAAGTAGAAAAATGAGATATTTGGGTCATTTTGTGTAAAAAAAAAAATCACCCTTTTATAGAAACAAAGTGTTATCTTCATAGTTCCATAAAATTAATTTAGAGTTTAGATAAATCGTTATCGCATTGGCGCGGAAAGTTAGAAATCGCTCTCCTGAAAAACTTATTTTTTTGAGTTACCACGGTTTAGTTTCAAAGCGACGTCATTTCGAAAGAAGGGGAATATAACGCTACAAATCTACAAATAACGTTGACAGCAGTCAATTGTGAATTTCATTGAATATTTATGTTATATAAACTAAATGTTCACTACTTACGCATCTAGAAAAGAAAATTAATAGCATGTTGAATAAGTGAAACAAACACGCTTTTTACCTTATTTCCTTAAGAAAGGAAGCTATGTGAATAATTTTTAAAATGAAATTTTTGATAAAGTAAAATGGTAAATAAGACTAAACTAAAAACAAAACAAAAAAATAACTGGAAAGTAAAGCATTCTGTAAGTAAAAACTGGAAAGTAAAGAACCACAGTAATTGCATTCTGGAGTTTTGTGGAATACATGTAAAATATATATGCTCTATATATAATATACTATGTAATAATGCAATATATATATATATATATATATATATATATATATATA